ATGTGGGGACAAGATCATGAACTTTTAACTGGGTGGGATTCTGGTGTAATTTCCAGAATTGGGATTACACAGATGTGCTGATTCCTGATTTATTAAATTGGAACTTTAAGGATCGTTTTGCCTTGGACTCTGATTTAATTCTACATGATACTTGGAACGCTGACAACTACATTTCTATAATGTACTTTTGACCTGTGTCAAAATTATCTCACTTCTGTCACACACTCTTTCTGCAGGAACCAATATCAATGCTTATCTCATTGCTGTAAACCCAAGTATTGTCAGAATGCTGTTTTCATATTCCTATCTATTTTCCATTCTCCCAAAGAACAGCATGGCTCCTGCATGGCTAGTATTTGACATATAAACACCTACCTCTTCTGAGGATCCATCAGAAGGCCAGCCAAAGTGGAAAGATAATAGGATGATGAGCATGGGGATCTTTCCAATACAGAGGCATCCAATCTGCAGTGGCTCCAGAAAATGTCTGCTACTTGTGGGATTGTGCCAAGATTTCCATCTGCCTCTGTCAGGCTGGCATTTCCTTGCCAGTTTTGGGGCTCAACATAGTTTTGAATAAAAAAGAGCTTTGGTTTTCCTAGGAGATCGGGACACTTCTCACCAGTAAAGAAATCCTTCAGCCTTTCCAGTTGAAATCCTGGAGTGATATGGTCTGTGCAGAATATATGTTCCTGGTTCCCTCGACTGACAAGCACGCAAACGAAACAATCGGCATCTTTGTGAGCTCTCAGCTTTGCTGCTGCATGCAAATCACGCATCACTGCATCCATATTGAGAAATAATCGACAGTGAACTTCAAAATGTAGTGATTGAAAGGCTCTCGTCAACAAACCTACAGAGAGAGAGAAGCAGGAGAGCCAAGAATACCAGGCCAAGTCAGTAGGTTAGAGTCCAGGCTTAGGAAGGCTGGTTTTGTTTTAAGATCCAGTTGTTTAACATTTATTGGCCTACCTGTCTAATTTCAAGCTGGCAGACATTTTTAGCCATAGGCATTTGCTAAAATTAATTCCAGAAGATATTGTCCTATCTTCCTTTTTCAAAAATTTTATTTTCGTTTAAAACAAACATTTCATCATTCCTCAATCAGTGAGACATCGGAGTACAATTTTTTTGTGTGTCAAAATAGTTCTAGTTTACCACCAAATTCTTNCCTGAGGGCCATGTGTTCTGTGTTGCAGATGAGCTGGCTCAGGCCTTAATGGCCCATTAACAAAGGTGTGTGTCTGAGTTTCTGTCTCCCTTTTAGGGGAAATATTCTGCCCTTTTTAATATTTCCTAAAATTTTTCATTTTCTTAGGAGAGGGGTGGGTGCTAATTTCCTACAGGTGGATATTTTTTAGCCTCCTTTTCTCCTTTTTTTTCTGTGTTAAGGGCGTCTTGATCTGCAAATATTAGAACAGTCTATCTGAACCTGGCATCCTCCAGATGTGTTAGACTCCCAAAATTACGTTAGCTTGTTGGCAAAGCTTATAGAAACCTAATTCTTTGGAAAGCTATCAGGTTTGGAAAAGGTGACTATTTTATTAGCCAGTGCTATTCCCCCACCCCCCTTCCCTTTCTTTTGTTGGGTTACAGATCTTATCTTCACATTTATTAATTTCACCACCACCACCTTCCCAGCATCATCTTGTATTTGCAGCGCAGTTATTAATGATATAAGCACAATTTGAAAGCAGCAAATTAATCTTCTCTTTAGCCAAGCTGTGAGTTTGAATTGGAAGTTAAAAAGGGACACTGAAAGTTATTTAATTTGCACGGGGCTACAGGAAGCCCATTCTTTCCTAGTAGCTATGACAGTAATAGTTGCAGTGAACCAAGCTTATTCCCTTTTCTTTGCCCATGAGGAGGACAACTGGCTACATCAACAATTAGTCTGAAAAAAGAAAGAGAGAAAGAAAGTGGGGTCATGAAGAGAGATAGCATTGCTAGGGTCACCTAAAAATAAAGTTCAAGGGACCTTTACCAGGGATCACCAGATTTTATGGGGAACTGCAGCATTTTCATTGTACTAGCAATTGGTTTAAATGATGGGTTAGACTAATTGCTCCATTAATAAAATTTGGTTCTAAAAGCAGCATCTCCAACTAGATGTGCTACACAATGGATAATAAGCACCATACAATGGACAGATATAGACATGTACATGCACCAATGGATTTTAAAATTAGAATAAGTTCTTTTAAAAAAACAAGTAAGCTGGATGGCAATTCTTTTTTTAAAAATGTTCCTCTACTGAGGATAGTTACAGAAAATAAGAGATAATCATGATAACATATAAAATTACTGCTACACTGCTGAATTTTCAACTTCAAAGATACAAGTAGAGATGAGCAGCTGGGCTTACCATTCCTGGTCTGTGTAGCTGGATGCCTGCTTAGATGACAATCAACTTATTTAAAATTTTATACAAATTTCGTAAGTGTTTTTGTTTCTGTACAAACAACTGACAAATTTAATGTTAAATCAAGCATTCCAGTGGACATTTGCTTTGGTTTTTGGGTATGATGAAAATAACTGAATAAAGTCCCTGGGAAAGCATGGACTTGGATGGGGGCCAAGAGGCTTCGACTGAATCCTGGCAAGACCAGGTGGCTTCCAGTCCATGGAACCCCAGGATCCAATTTTTTTTGTCATTCTTCGTTCTGGATGCAATTGCACTACCCCATTCAGATCCAGTTCGCAACTTCAGAGTTCTCCTGGACTCAGGACTCTTGCTCGAAGAACAGGTGGCAGGCATGATTAGGAGAATTGTTGTAAAACTCCAGCTTCAGAGGTGGTATTCAATAGGCTCTGACTAATTCTGAAGAAGTGGAAATTTGGAGTAGTTCGGAGAACCAGTAAATGCCACCTCTGACTGCCCCTGCTCCCATTTATTCTCTGCCTCCCGAGTCCCAGCTGATTGGGAGGAAATTGGGGTTTTGCAGTAACCTTCCACTGGAGTGGGGAGGGAATGGAGATTTTGCAGTATCCTTCCCCTGCCATGCCCACCAAGCCATGCACACAGAATGGGTAATAAAGAGTTTTGAATCCCACCGCTGTCCAGCTTGTGCACCAGTTTCCTAGATACTGACTCCCTGCTCTTATTTCATGTGGATCATGTAATGATCCGTATACATGTAGCTGACTTTAATGGAAAAAAATCTCATGCAAGTAATGATTGCACAAGCAAGAGGTATGTAAATTGGACACAAAATAGTTTGTTTAATTTACTGGTGCTTCTAATGAATGGTTTTACCACCATTATCCAAACAGCAGAGCTAATGAAGAGAAGAACAGTGAGGAAATAATCTTATCTTATTATATTCCATTGTCAGAGAAGATTACATTTGCAAATCAGATCTCCCTCCAGCACCTAGTATTGGATCGGATGTCTTTCACCTACTTTCCCCCCTGGAAATGCAGCAAATGTATATTTTTCATTTTGCAAGACAGAGTTGGTTGATTGAGGTAATCGAAAATGAACAAAGAGTGCTATTCAAAACTGTAGCTTAATCATTGATGGGATGATTTGTAAGAAAATTTGAAATAGATGAGTAGCACGAATATTTCTTATGAATGAAGGCAAATATACCTATCCTGGTATAATGTTTCAGGATCCAATCTGAGTCAGTCATCTGGAGCTGTGGTTTAGTCTTCTGAGCTTTCAGACATGCTAGAGACCAGAAGAGGTATTCAGCAGGTTCTGACCAGTTCTGGAGAAGCGGTAGTGGAAATTTTGAGTATTTTAGAGAACTGGTAAATACCACCTCTGACTGGCCCCGCCCCCATCTATTCTCAGCCTCCTGAGTCCCAGCTGATCAGGAGGAAATGGGGATTTTGCAGTAACCTTCCTCTGGAGTATGGAGGGAATGGAGATTTTATAGTATCCTTCCCCTGCCATGCCCACCAAGCCATGCCACACCCACCAAACCACACCCACAGAACCAGTAGTAAAAAATTGTGAATCCCACCACTGCTGGAGACCATCCTTAGGGAACTTCTCTCTACTGGACTATGTGCTTTGCACTATTGGCAAGCAGCACATAAATACTATACACAGAATAGCTAAACCTCTGGTCCTGGTGACCAATCCAGATTGGATCCTGGAGGAATATTTCTAACTAGAAAAGCAGAAAGGGGAAGCTATTTGGCCAGTTTAAGAAGGACTGTTGAACTTCCTAGCTTGCTAATTATCTAATAGCAATAGATTTAAATACTGCCTTATAAGGCCCTCTTTAAGCAGTTTACAGAGTCCGCACCTTGCCTCCAACAATCTGGCTCCTCATTTTACCGACCTTGGAAGGATGGAAGGCTGAGTCAAGCTTGACCCAATCAGTATCAAACTCCTGGCAGTGGGCAGAGTCAGCCTGCAATACTGCATTCTAACCACTGGGCTACCACGGCTCGAATGCTCCTCTTACTCAGGAGATAGAAAGGGAAAGGCAATGAGGGCATCTGGAGGAAGGAAATGAAGAGACAATGTTATCTTCAACTTCTCTTTCTCCGCAAGAAGATAGTGCAGCAAAACACATACTGATGATTCACTGGATCCAGGGCACTGATTAAAAGTCTTTCCAGAGAAATGAAAAGTCCTATATCCTATTATATCTTCACTGTCTATCTAAGAAATAGATGTCTGCTGATGGGAATCAGGGAAGAGTCCAAAGGTCGATGTATTGGCAATTTCTGTAGAGATTGTTAAGGGTTGCAATTTCTTTTTTTTAAGTAGCCCAAAAATATATATCAAGATTTCAGTTTTCCCCAAAGTTGCTTTTTTATATGCAGCTTGCAACCATTATCAGGTTTTCTGGTCTAGTTCATCATTATGTAAATCCCAAGCTATTTTGAATCTTAAGGTTAAAAACAGCATCTTGAATTGTGCCAGGAGTAAAACCCAAATTGAGCAGAAGCTACAGAACAGTAGGAGTAATATGAAATTGCTGCTAGGAGGGAGATCATCACCAATGCTGGAATTATTTCTAAAGCTGGCTCTATTAAAAGTGTCTTGCTATAACCGAGCATATTCTTTGAGTTACGAAGGCACGAAGGGCGGGAAATGACTAAAGCTGTTTTAACAGGTGAGTTGTGCATTAAGCATTCCTTGTTGCTACCACTGGGTGAAATTCCAAGCACAGAAGATTTTAAAAGAATCCCCGAATTGCATTTTGAAAAGTTAGATTTAATTGTCTTTTGGGTGGTCAGCCCTGAATGATTGAATTAACATTTCTTTCCTTCCTGATCATTCTGAGCATTCCCAGTTCATACTTTATAAATGCTTCAGAGTCCTCGACGTTAGAACTGAATATGAACACAACCTCTATTAATTCAAGATAGGAGGAAAGACAAACTCGTAATGATATGCTGCTTCAGAACTGCTTAAATTATAGTGCCATTATCATTACAGCAAATGTAGTTGAGTTTGCTTTTGCAGTCCTGATGCTACAGGCATTCACAGGAGAATAAACAATATTTTTAGAGCAAAAATAATAAAATGAGCATCTACAGTTATGTGATTATTTTCCTGGTCACCCCTGGCTATATATAAACCCCTGCTGAAAAACACAATTCTTTTCACATAACTTGCCCATAATAACTGCATTGATTGGATGACCCAATTTACAGATGCTAAGACAATAGCTGGGTTCACACCACACATTAAGCCAATCTTCATTCTTTCCCATCTGCTTTTATTGTTATCTCTATCAGTCTATGGGATCCCATTCAGTCCACAACGATAATCAAATGCTAAGCAAGTTAGAAATCTCAGAACCAAACCCTATTGTTTATATTAGTTCAAATCTTCTCCCTAGATCAATGGCTGGAGAAAAGATGAGACATATTGCAATCTAATTC